TCCTGCAGGGTGGCGGTGCCGCAACCCCAAGGCCCGACACTCACGCGCTCTCTCCCCCCCCCCCAATCTTTGCCGCTATTTAAATAGCGTAGGGGGTTATTCCGTGGGCGCTGCGTGCGGGCGCCCCCCGGCTGAGGGGTTCAGACAGCGGCCTCAGCTTCGCGGGAGGAGAAGGCGGCCCTTTCCGCGCCGGCAGAGCCCCTGCGCTGCCACCTCCCCCACTTCCCAGCAGTAGCAAAAATTAAGCAAGATCAATAAACGGTGTTTTCACCAGCTGTCCCTATTTCTTTGGACATATTTGTGAATTTTCTTCTTCAGTTCCCCCTTCCCCATTTCGGAGATTTATCCTAGTTTAAAAAAAAAAAATCATTCCTAATTATAAAATCCACCTGTGTGTTTTATTTATCACGTGAGAGTTCAGGCTGGTCATTCCCTAACCGTGCTTATTTGCTAAGGTGCGCACCTTTGCGTGAGCAGGGAGCATGGGAGCGGCGTTAGCAAGAGCGGCTCAGTGGACCTCTGCTGGGTCTGGACACGGCACGCTTGAAATCACCCCTTTGAATGAATCTCTTCTAAATGAAACGATTAAGTTTGCGGAGAACTTCAGCACGAGACATCCCCAGGAAGCGGCGTTCGTCTTCAAAGAGCCCCTTGAGTGGAAAACGCAGCTGGACTGCTCGGTGTTCGGAGTGGGTTATGAGATTGAGTAAGTCTGCAGGGCAGTCTGTTTGGAAACGTTGAAGGAGAACTGCGAAACAGAACTGTGCTTATTTAACATAAAGAAAGCCTTCTTGTATTTTGAAGGTTGAAGCAGGTGGATTTTCAACTGTTTTACATTGAAAATTTTGAGTTAAAATCCATAGGTTTCTTGGAGAGTTTGAGACTATCATATCTTGATTGTGACATAAACCTGTTTAGACAGCCATTTATTGCAGAAACAAGGGGGACAGGCTTGCACTGTCTATTCCCAGGACTTTCTACCTGTGTCTAACAGTGATTAACCCTCTCTTTTCCATTACTGTTCTGATTCTGATTGAGCAGAAGTGTTTTTCTGCTGTTACTGAGGTGGATTAACAAACATAGGTTTGAATTACAGTTTCTTTGTGAGCAGCAGTCTCCAAATATTATTTAAAAATAGATTGTGTTAATATATTCATATGGTTTCAGTCGTAAGATTTGGTTATACCGCTATAGCTTACTCACCAAATATTCTAAGAGTTCTCTGAATATTTACCAATTAGTACTGAAAAAATAATGATAATTACAAGGCTTATGTTTATTTTTCAATCTAACTGGCTTTGCATTGATGCTTAAGACTTATGCTGCAGTAACGCCATGTATTTTTGTAATTCTTTGAACTATGTCATATTAAGGTGCTGTAGATAAGCAAAATCATTTTTCTTAACTAAATCACAAAGCTACTGGAGAGTTCTCTGAACTTTGCTTGACAAGTAGACAAATTCAGGCTTGGTTTCAATAACACTGTCGTAATAGCCCAATTTTGAAAAAAATATATATATTTTTTCCTTCTACCAGTCAGTTATTTTCAAGCACCTAAACGTATAAATTCCCTGAAGAGCTACCTTATGTAATCCTTTGCAATTTTAGGTTTTTTTAGACACTTTAATTTTGTTTGTAGAAATCCAACGAGAAAGTTCACCCTTCCATACAGCGATCTTGCTGTTATAGTCATAATGCTTAAAGAATAGTCCCACAAATAAAATTCTGTATAGCTTATTTGTTTTTTTCTATAGATTCATAGAGCTTGATCGCAGAAGGAACTGTTAATTCATCTTGCCTGACATCCAATGTGTTACAAACCAGTAAATATTGTCCAGTTGCACGAATGTGGACAACATAATTAAAGTTTGCATGAAGCATTATCTTCCAGAAAGGCATAAAATCTTGAGCTATGATCTGTCTAAAACTTATTTAAATTGTTAAGTTTGATATCCACTTTTCATTTACATAATATTTCTAAGAATTCATTAATTGTCTCGTAGAAAGAAGGCTACCAAAATAAAAATATACAGGCATAATTATTGCCCACAAGAAAGATTCAAACAGTGTACGGGGGGGGGAACTTGGTTGACTGTAGTTTTATTATTGTGTATGAAGAAGAGAATCAGAATCAGGACACAGAAATAAGGAGAAGTAGCAAGCTTTGCCAGGACCTGAACAAGATGGAAACTTAACCCCAGGAAAATATTTTAGAGAGAGATTCCAATGGATGCTATCTCAAAAAAAAATCTGGTATAATGAACAGGCAAGCTGTTGCTGTTTGCTTTGATTCCTCCAGTGGTCAAGAAAATGGAATTTGATACCTTGTAGATGAAAAAAGATTCCACCAAACAAATAACTGACACCATCCCTTCTCCTAACTGAAACTACCTACAGGATTATTTTTGTCTGTTCCAGAGTTCAGTCTAGCTACAGAATAGAGTAAAACAGGTTTATAGCAAGGATGGTTGAAGGGTATTGAAGCAAGAGGAGAAACAAGTTTGAGGCGTTTCCAAATAAATGTTGACAGTAAAAACTCACAAAAAGACTAAAACAAACTAAAATAGGAGTTGGAGGCTTTACAAAAGGATTTAGAGTAGTGTCTGAAGTTTCTCAGAAAAGAACGTGAAAGAAAGTCTCAGATGTGGAATAGATCAGTGAGGCAACCGGCAGCTTCAGCATCCTAGACAGGAAGCTTTCTCTTTAGGGAGAGGACAGAAAGCGAGTTTAAGCAAGTAGGCACTTACTATCGCAGACAGGTTACTGGAGAAAAGAAACTGAAAAGCTAAATACTCAGCTCTTCAGGCTGTGGTCACACACCACAGGGTTTCATGTTTGCAGTGGGAAGGGGAATTGAAAAATAGTATGTGGGAGCCATAAATATACATACATTTATAAAAGTATATTTATTTATTTTATATATATATAAAAAAACAGTTCATATACATTCAAAGGGTGCGGCAATATCTCTGGGAAAATTAATTAGAGTGAAGCACCACAAGGCACAAGGGAGTTACTCCCTCCATTCAAAAATGCCTTTATCATCCTGGAAGAGGAATGCTTGGACATAGAAGAATGAGTCCCTCAGGTCTTGTTTGAGTCTGGGCGCTCGTCTGGTCTCAGATAGAGATAATGTCTCAGACGGTCCCGGAATTGGATATGAAAGATGGGAAAGTAGAAAATGTGAACCAAAGATTGTGTAGTCACTGTACCAGCAATATGGGTGTTTTGGTAAATGATTCAGATCATTTTGAATTGGCTATTTGTGAACTCAGTGGTTAGAAAATCAGTTAACAGTCTTGTAGAAAGCACTTGCAGAAGAGGAACAGACATTTTGTGAGACAATACAGCAGGTGTGACCTGTCCTGTATGACTAATTTTTCCTGAATTCAGACTCTCAAAATTCCCTTTAAAAGGGGAGACACCAAGGTAGGACAAATGAGTTACCGATGCCTGGTTTGCAGTGAATAAATGCGTTTACCTCATAAGTTTTCTGAACTACATTTAAAAAAAAAATTGCTTTATCATGTAAAACTTGAGTAAATTTCTTAGTGACAGATTCTTCCCTAAAATTTACTGTTTATTAAAGTTCTTATTGAAAACCATATAATTTCATTTTTCTAGTGGAACAACTGTTCAGTCTGAAGCCAAAGGTAGAGATGGACAACCATTGCTGCTCCTCACGGGATCAACTCTCAAAGTTCGCAGCTTTGACCAGCTGTCCCATTTACTGTCTATTGCTGTGGAAAAAAAGTTAAAGGAAACACAGGCATGCCTTGAAGGTTTTCTTTTTTTTTTTCCTCCCCTTTTCTCTCTCTTTACAAATATAACATCTCCTTGAATATGTGTTTATGAAATGTGAAGAAGAAAGAAATGCATGCATTCATTTTAAATATATGAGAAGACGTTGATTCATGAAGATGGCTAAAAGTGCTGATCCAGAATTTCCTTAAGTTTCTGTTTCTTCTTTTGTTTTCACAGAAATCAGTAACAGAGAAGTCTGGAATAAAATTAACTTTTAAAGTTAACATGTGCAAATTCCTCTATACTGATCAGTGCCCCAGCTATTGCAAAAGACAGTAGGTTTATATTTCAGAAAAAGGATGTCTCATGGGAACCTGTTAGCAGTTTTTCCTATGTTTGTAATTAAATCTCCCTTTTAAAATGTTAATTCCTTTTAAAAAAAAAAAAAACCTTCAAAACCTATACATAAAATATTCTCACTTATGCGAGGTTCATAGCAAACATTTCCAGGTCCTTCTCATAAATGCTTTTAGAATATATGTACTGGTACTTCTGCTGGGTCATATTCAAGTCCAACTTATCAAACTGACAAAAATAACTTTAATATGCTAAATTGAATATCCACTTTGCATCGGAGGTGAAAGAGATAGGTAATATTCTTTGGTAACGTTAGTAGAAAGTAATACATCAGCAATACTAGAACATAAAGGCTTATACTGCATCAGACGTAAGGTTCATCTAGCCCAATGCCCTGTCACTGGCACTGATCAACCATGAATAATAGGAGAAAATATATGAACAGGGTAATCACAGTGAAACAAGCACAGAGGTATGGGACTTCATTTGCAAGAGGAGGGCAAAATGTATTTATAAAACCAACTGACATGCCGTTATGTCACTGTTTACCAAAAGGGACAGCTGGCATAGCTTAGGAAGTTAAGGGACCATTGGGAATGTTGCTAGACAGCTTTTAAGATGTCATTTTAACACTAGATCATGTTTCCACAGTGATCCATTTTCAGTGAGTTAAGCCCATTGATTTTCTGATTGGCTGATGATACAGATATTTTCTGGGAAGAGCAGTGTTGATAAAGGGAAGTATTTAATATTCACCTCTTGGCTGAATGGATCTTAATCTTTGTTGTAAAAAGCAATTTTGTTTATTATAGAAAGGAGTTATTAAATCTTAATGTTTCAATCTTTTTAAAAGTTAGTACTACACAAGTGTATTTCAGACTATAACAGGGGCATGAAAGAATTTCATCAAACAGTAATATTTGATCATATTTAATGAATACTTAGGCACATTATTAAAATTCTTATTATAAATTAACTGTGTTGAAATTATTTGGCAGTTGAAATAAGAAGAGTAATCATTCCTAATCATTTTTCACATTATATTGATGTTATTTCCTGTTCACAGCTAACAGAGATCCTATAGTGAAAATTCTTGGCCCTGAATATGGGACTGTGGAAGGAGAAGATATGTCCATATTGCATTTACTTGACAAAGTGAAAAAAGATGATGACCCTGAAACAGAGCTTAAAATGAAAATCTTTATCCTTCTTAATCAGCTGGATATGCAACTGCTTAATAGTTCTTTAAAACACATTTCACAGTAAGTGCCTTTCCAATGGAAACCTAGGCATGTCTCCAAGTGCATTTTTTTGTTTTTTGTTAAATTAGATTTGTTTCAATCCACAGCATGTGCTTTTGCTGTGATATAAAGAAACTTAAAGTTTTTGAAACAACTTTCACCATTTGCTATGTTACTGAAAAAGCATGTTTTTTCTAGAGATCTTGCCATGGATGCACATACGTGAATGTGTGCCCATGAGCATATTTGTTTTTATTGCATGTGTTTTGTGTTTTGGTAGCAAATTGAATAATTCTTACAAATAACACACTCACAGTAAAATTATTTTCAGGGAGATGTTTATTTCTTCATGGAAGCCTGTTAAGTATTACATTCAATTTGTTGTGAAGGTTTGTTCTCAAGGATTTCATATTAGCTTTGAAACTAAAATTTCACTAAACTAACAAATAAGAAAAAAAATGGAAATTGGCCCATTTCTGGATTTTTGTTGCCACTACCAAGACTCAATTTGCAAAACAAAAATCCTATTATATTCTATTTTGATTTCTCTGAGTACATGCTTTTGAGAAATAGATTTTTAGATTGTTTTCTATTAATTGCAGAGAGGTAAGACTAAATCCAGCTGCTGTAAATAATGAGGTGAATCTTCTCAAGCATTTCTCTGGGAAAGGAGAAGATACGGTTCTGGAATCACTGGAATATACATCAGGTTCAAATTTTATATTTTACTTTTGTTTTCCTTTTGTTTTATCATATCTCGCATACCCTTATTAAAGTGCTTGACTTCTGTATGAATTTGCTAAAATAAATTCACTAATTTACACTGTCTATTTCCACTTTAAAGTTATGAAGTAGATTGAAATGTATCTTCAGATATGGAATGCTATTCTTCAGTCTTTACTTGTAGAAATAATCTGCAATCATATGAATGACTTCATTGGAAGCAGAAGTCTACTGAGTGCCTGATCCTAAAAAGTGTTGAGCATGTGCTGCAGTTCTTTGTTGGATCAGACCACAGTTCTCTGCACTTCGCATGATTAATTCCAAAATGAGTATAAATTCTCAAGAGTAAGATATTGTTTTGGGACCTTGATTTGTATATGTGTTAAATTAATCATCAGGCATAGCTATTAAAAATATTCCTTTAAAACTGAAACGCTATTGCTAATTGGTTACAGATTACACATTCTCTAATGGATGCCGAGCTCCTCCCTGGAGACAAATGCATGGAGAAATTTGTTATTTAATCATCAAACCACATGACACTGATCCTTTGTATATCACTTGCAGCACATCAGGAGTGTTCTTAAATGGAGTAAGTAATAACGAAGGGTATCCTGAAATAACAAACATTTTTATGTGTTAAAATCAAAACTCCAACAGGTTTACAGTAGTGGTATTGAGCCTGTTAGAGCTGCAGAGTTGGTTTATAGGTACTGAAGAAAAAGACACAATAATAACTGTAAAGAATTTTCCTATATTTGTTGAGTGCTTGTTCTTTAAGTGTTATATGGAGGATGTATTCTGCACATCTTACTAGCAGTGTTTGTTTAGTTTTTGCAGGTGCCCTAACAGTCCTTAGTGCTGTTCCTCTGTGAAAGGCACTGTGGTGTCTGTACAGATAGGTGTCTGTTCTGTAGTTCCTCATTGCTCTTATCTGAGGTATATTATTATTATCTATGGCTAATATAGCTTTTTTATCTTCTTATACATCATAAGAAATTATTTCTCCTGTCACTGGAAGCTTGTTAGATACTACTTATCTCTTTTCTTCTGCTTTTCATTCTGCTTACCTCTTTCTTTACAGATAGGTTTTATTTAGGTGTAATAGTCTCCCTATGTAGTTTAAGCAGTGACTAAAGCACTTAAACTTATTTTGAAGAGACAGATGTCCCTTAAAGTGTAGCTCCACAAATTGCTTTTCCTAAGAGTTAGAAAATCCAGGGAAATTTTGACTTAGGATGTTTTTTGTGGATGAGGTTCGTAAAGCTTAGGCTCAATGGGGTCACATTATTTTCTGATCCTTTTGGACACCCGCCACACTACACTAGAAGCTCATGTTTCGTTGGTTATTCGCCATGTGTCGTAAATGCCTCTTAGCGGAACTACCCGTGGTATGATGCACTTTAACTGGTAGTAATTACTTGCAGAATTGTGTTTTAGATCTTGATTAGCCATTGAAATCTGTGGAGATGATCCATGCATCTTCACTAACCAGTATTGAAGTTCGATGGTTTCTGTGCTGAGCGTGAGGCTTCTGCACATAACTGATTACAGTATGCCCCCTGTGCTCCTTAGCAGTATTTAATCATGCAAATTAAATATCTTGTATAAGGCAATATTATTAATAATTTTAAATGTATTCTTTTTTTAAGGGTAAGCTAAAGGAGAAAGATGATATTGACTATGAAAGAAAAAGTGACATATATAAAGATATTGTCACATTTTTAAGGGAAAGATCACCTAGATTTGTAGAAAATATGTCTAAACAGGTATGTATTTACTGATACCGGGTATACTTTCTATTTTGTACCAATGTACATTGCAAGTTGGTAAGGATTACATTATGTAAGTAAGTTATTTGCAGAAATATTAGAATTCTGTTAGTATAAAAGGTAGTAAAACATGGCTGAATATTTTTTGTTCTTTATCAAAATTAAATCTATGATTAAATGAAGAATTTTTAGGAACTTGAAATAACTTTATTATTGTTCTTTCAGTTTATTTAATACTTTCTGATAATTGCAATGGAATTGTAATTACAAGTGCAATAGTGGCCAGTTTGTGTTCAGGTAGTTGCATAATGAGAAGCGCTTCATAGACTTTATTTTGTGGCGTGTCTAAACCTTTTGTGAGGTTAGTTTGGGCTTCAGTGAGGCTTACCCCACTCTAGTGAGACCGGAGATACAAGCCTTGCTAAGTAACAGCTGTTAATATGTTATAATATTCTACCGTGTATTCCTTGATAGCACATTCATCTGTGTTCAGTGCTCTGAAAAAACAGAACTTTTCCCAGCTTTGGTTTCTCTGGAAATAACAAGCTGGATTTCTGTTTTGTATCACAAAACACATCAGTGTATGGGTAGGAGAAAAGAAAGCCCATCGTGTGAGTCCTAGTGTCTGCTTAGAAAAGCCTAGAGATCGCCGGATCTCTCTAAGAGGTTGAAGTTATTCATGGAGGGGTCTTGTAACCCTGATCCACAACTGTATGGTCTGCTTTTTGGTAGCATAGCTGCACTGGAACTTTACAAACATACCTGCCCCCAGGAATTGTCCTGAATGCACACTACTGCAGGGTAGAGCTCCACTGGAAAGCAGTGTATCCCAGAGCCTTATATAGCTGAATACTGGTGATTTGGGTTCAGTTGGACCTAAGCTTAGCCTGTTTTTGCAGGATCCAGTCCAAAGACAAAAAGAAAAATGAAAAGGAATATAGGGATGAGCTGGTATCATAGGTACATAAAAGTTTTCTAGGTAAAATAGAAAGCAAAGGATGAGCAAGGTTAGAATGCTTTTATGGAATGTGACGACATACACTATTAAAACTGAGCTCCATAATACTTAAGAATTTTAATGTTTAAATTTTGGAATCATAAAACACAGGGTTTTTAAATATTTATTGCGTTTGAATGCAAATAATACACCATTTCAGTTATCATTCTGTCATAGAGTAATATGAGGCTTGATCCAGTCTGTGAGATCAGCTTCTAATTTTGCATAAAAAGTTCTCCTCACCTGGTATTATTCTTCATGGAGCGCTAGAAATGTTAAAGCAGGAAAATATGATATTCTTATAGAAAAGGTCAACTTTCTATGATAATATTTTTCTGTAATCAAAACCACTTACATTTTTATCTTCTTTCTTTGTGACCCAAATGTAAATGAAAGCTCTACTTTTTAATGAGAACTGTCTGATTTAAGTGTCCGAGCTGAGAGGTATGCTTCCGACTCACATAGCATATGTTGCCACCAGGCTTCAGTTAGGCTAAAATGCAAGCGTCTTTGACTTTTATTTAGAACTCTACATTATTTAGAGTAAGGAGCATCATATTTTGTCTATTACAACAGAATCTTGTACTGTCACTATAATTAAAGTTGTTTCATCATTCCTGTTAAAAATTCTTTGTTCAGATATGTAACATGATTATAACATGTTTATAACTTGGTAGTAATATTCGTTACAGGCTGAAACCTGTCAGAAGTTTTAATTGTGATTATTTATATGCAATATTAATTATTGCAAAGAGGAAGTAAATAACAGAGACGTTTTCGTATGCTTTTGGTCTGATATTCTGGAATATAGGGCTGATATTTACTTTTTTGGACTTGCAGATGTTTGACAGTTCTGAAAGAATAAAGCGTTTCAAGTTGTACACATAAATACAGTAGCTGACATACAGTGGAATTAACCTTCCAGATTGTTCTATTTGAAAATGCCATGATGTAATAAGTTCTAAAATGTATTTTACTTATCCCATGCACAAATATTTCTTTAAAGTTATATCTACATATTGGTTTACATTTCATAAACATGTCATAAATATGACAATATATGAAAGCTTTTAGCCATAATTACTATGTAAATATGTTTTCAAAGTGGTTTGGCTTCATTTGATGGTCATGGAAGGTAAAATGTGGTAATATTTTTATAATTTGCCAGTTCTAATTCTAAAAGTTAATGCAGATGTTAAAGTGTTTGCCTTTATTGTTTATACTTACTAAATGAGTAAATAAATAGAACTTACCCCATTTTCCTTCAACTGTCTCATAAATCACTTGTTCTGGATTCCTTGACTGCAGATAAAGTTTTTACTGAAGAGTTTAAATTATACTATTTTAATGGATTCCGAATATCATATCATATTGCCCTTTTTAAGAGCTTATTTAGTAGATTTTATATTCTAAGTATAGAATTTAAACAAGATGATACTGTGGAGCTGTAGCGTGTTTGTATGTAAAGGAAAATCAGCTCTGTGCTGGAACTCTGAGAAGCAGAGATAATAGAGGATGTAAGAAGATAGTAATTGTTGCTGATGTATAGAGGCAGGTTCTCAGAATTTCATGTTTTTGTAAAGTGTGTTAATTAATGGAAAGCTATTATATTTACATATACAAATAAATTTGCCATTGCTATTGCCTGAATAAGTGAATATTCCCGTCATCTCAGCAGTGTGATAAATAACATCTAATTCAGAAATACCAAAAGTATTGATTTGTTTTTTTAACCATATTTCCAAGTTTGCCTCTATGAAATGAATTGTGGCTGGAGATGGTTTTGATTTATTTTCTGGGGAGAGGAATAGCTTCAACATGCTCGTTACTGTACATGTATATGACATAACTAGTTAACTTTTACAATATCTTATTGGCATATATTGCATAATTAATTAACTTTTATAATATCTTATTGACCTTGTTTAAGCTAACATTTAGAATTGCTATGTTGCTGTATAGTAGCTGTAGGATACACATACGCTTTAACATGTGCTAACCTGGTCAAGCTACAGCATCAATTCCCCAGCAGTGTGACTAGTTTAGCATGTGTTAAATTGTCTTGTCTAGACTACATTTTTTAGATTGAGAGAATTAACGTGAGTTAGTTTACAATTAGACAACTGGATCAACAAGCCCAGTACAGATGATTCTCAGCACAGACTAATGAAAGACAGACTGTACTGTAACAGTCTCCTTAAAATTGCCTTGCATCAGCTATGTAAAACAATTTCTTCACCTACCTGGTAGTGACAGCTGCAGTAACAATAAGAAGTAGTGATCATAAGTAATGATATTTCCTATAGAAATTAAATATATTCTAATGGAAAATTAAAGTTGACAAGAGTATTTTCTGTTCTGGATATTTTTGATCGGTCATGGCACAAGAGAGAGACAGTAGAAGGTTTGGTAGGTGCTACTCAAAGCTGTTCTTGTACTTGAGTGGGTCACCAATGTCTTCTGAGAGACAGAAGATGAAAAAGAGAAATGGAATATGTTAATTCTAAACTATATCAAATTAAATTACTTGGAAATAAAGTCTAGCAGTTTATCATAACCTGTTTTCAATTTTATGTTTGTTAATTTCTGTGTGAATATCTGTGTGAAAACTATATATCCTTTGTGCAGGGAAATACCTTTTATATAAATAGTCCATTGAAAGCAGAATGAGTTTGCAATACTAAATCTTAGAACTCGTTTGGAATTAGGTTTTATGAAATTGCTTGTGTCACAGATTATTCCACTTACTAGAAATTGAGCACCCAATATTCGAGTATGTTCAGAAAATTCCAAATTTAACTTGTTCATTTATTTCTAAAAACATTTTAATTTGCTTATGGCAACAGCTGTTTTTCACCAGAGGAATTTTCAGATTAATCTGAATGTTTCGTTCTTTTAAAGGCAACATGATTTTAGGCATAAAAATCTAATTCTACATCTAATACATACAGTTTTTCAGCACTAAATCCTGGAAATTTTTGTATAACTTATTATTTTAATATGTATTATTCATATAGCACTATGATTGACAAACCATGTCTCTTCCTTTATTAGGAATATAGCTTTTTTAAAGAACCAGCGTCTGAAAAGTATTATCAGCATATGGAAATAGTTGATACTGAGGACTCTGGCCAATCCCAGAAGCCTTATGATTATACAGAAAAGAATGTATATGAGAAGATGAAAAGTTCTTCCGCAAAAAGCAAGTCCGTTGACAGCAAAAAATTAGAACCATCTCTGAAGTGGAAGAACATCGTGCCTTCTGCTACCCACAGGTCTCTGTAATTGAATTTTCCCAAGGACCTAGCTAATCTGTGCTAATGATTGGTCTGCGTGTTATAAGTTTGCATGATTACCTTAAGAGCAATAAAACAAAGTCTACTCTATACAGGTTTTAAAGAAAGAGTATTGCCTAGCAAATTAATTTCTCACAGTTTTCTTCTGTCATGTAGCAGCTCATGCTGTGTCATTTCAG